CTAGTGGAAGTGCAAATCAGAAATTTTAACATTTTCTGGAATATTGGTAGAAATTGAGAAAAAGTAATTAAATGAAAAAAACTTATGTTTTTAAAAGTGTGGGCGTGAGAGTTTTGTGCGGTTTGTGGGCGTGGCAACATTTGGAAACCGACTTGCGCTGCGTCTGTCTGTGGAAGCTGTGAATAAGCATTCATTCTCAACATTCTAGTTCCAATTTTGAAGTTGCTGAGATCGTGGTGTTCATATGGACAAACGGACATGGCCAGTTCGACTCGGCTATTGGTCCTGATCAAGAATATTTATACTTTATATGGTGGAAAACGCTTCCTTCTGCCTGTTACATACTTTTCAACGAATCTAGTATAGCCTTTTACTCTACGAGTAACGGGTATAAAAGTGGACTAATAGCTACCATGAAGAAGAACGCACAAAAATGGGCAACGAAGATTAAAAAAAATTGTTTCTCTGTTTTATGAAAAGCTAATTATAAAAAAGCTAGATTTGACTACAACTTGACCCTTTTTCCCATCCCTGGTCGACGACTTGTTATCGATATCGGTAGACAGCTGATTGGCGGCATCTTCATTTACAAACAATTGTGGATTTTGCAAAGTTTTGGAAAAATGGACTACGATTTCAAGATGAAAACTCAGATTGAGCGTACGAAAGTGGAGGACCTATTCAATTACGAGGGCTGCAAGGTGGGACGCGGAACCTACGGCCACGTCTACAAGGCGAAGTGGAAGGAGACAAGGTGAGCTGGTTATCGGGTGCTCCACATACAATAATACATTATAAATAACAATGATGTTCATGTTCTGTAGCGATGGCAAGGAATATGCCTTGAAGCAGATCGACGGCACCGGCTTGTCCATGTCCGCCTGCCGCGAGATAGCATTGCTACGCGAACTGAAGCACCAGAACGTAATTACCCTCATCCGGGTGTTCCTGTCGCACAACGACCGCAAGGTGTTCCTGCTGATCGACTATGCGGAGCACGATCTCTGGCACATTATCAAGTTCCATCGGGCAGCCAAGGCCACCAAAAAGCAGGTTGTGGTACCCCGTGGCATGGTCAAAAGTCTGCTGTACCAGATTCTGGATGGGATTCACTATCTGCACAGTAATTGGGTGCTTCATCGTGACCTGAAGCCGGCCAACATCCTGGTGATGGGCGATGGCAACGAGAGGGGTCGCGTCAAGATCGCCGATATGGGTTTCGCGCGACTCTTTAATGCCCCATTGAAACCGCTGGCAGATCTGGATCCCGTGGTGGTTACCTTTTGGTATCGCGCTCCGGAACTGCTGCTCGGTGCTCGTCACTACACCAAGGCTATCGACATCTGGGCTATTGGCTGTATTTTCGCCGAGCTACTCACTTCGGAGCCCATCTTCCATTGCCGCCAGGAGGACATAAAGACCAGCAATCCCTACCACCACGATCAACTAGACCGCATCTTCAATGTCATGGGCTTTCCGCAGGACAAGGACTGGGAGGATATCAAGAAGATGCCGGAGCACCATACGCTGACAAAAGACTTTAAACGCTCCACATACTCCACCTGCTCGCTGGCCAAATACATGGAAAGGCACAAAATCAAGCCAGACAGCAAGGCCTTTCATCTGCTGCAGAAACTACTGCTAATGGACCCCAACAAGCGCATCACCTCCGAACAGGCCATGCAGGATCAGTACTTCCAGGAGGAGCCACAGCCCACGCAGGACGTGTTCGCCGGCTGTCCCATACCGTATCCCAAGCGTGAGTTCCTCACCGACGACGACCAGGAAGATAAGTCGGATAATAAGCGGCAGCAGCAACAGCAACAGCAGCAGCAGCAACAACAGCAGCAACAGCAGCAGCAACAACAGCAGCAACAGCAAATGAACGCCGAGCCGAATGCAAAGAGAGTTCGATTGTCCGGAGCTGGTAACCAGCAAGATTTCCACCACCAGCAGCAGCAAGCCCAACAGCAGCAACAACAGCAGCAGCAGCAGCAACAGATGATGTTCAACCAGCAGCAGAACTTCCAGCAGCGCTTCAACTGAGAGACTGATACATGCAGCATTTTTTCTACTACTACTAATCCCTAGCTTTCTAAGTATTTAATGACCTTAGCGCGTAGCAAATACAATCAAGTAAAGTGTACAATGCGAAACGTTGACTTCTTACCCGCTGTAAACATAGAAACTGTGATGCGGTAAAAATTTGTAGGATTGTGGAGCTTTTTCTGCAAGATTTAATTTACTGAACTTAATATAAATGCTAATTAGTTTAACTTCCTTTTGAAAATTTAAATATAAATTTGAATGCCCATTCTTCTCATTGGGTTATAATAAACACTTACATTTTTTGTAACTGAAACATAGTTTTGAAAACTATTCCTTAAATGGGTTCGAGTCCGAGCTAATTGTTGAAGTATTTAATTTTTAATGGTATTTTTCAACAGCATGGTTCAAGCTACGTAGGTATCGATTACTTGGTGCAATCGAAAGTGCCATCGCTGTTTTGCCAGCTCTAGTAGAATTTGTTAGAATATTTTTACCGGATTTGCCATTTGTTTGCAATAGAAATTGGAAGAGAAACATCAGACAGTGGCCACTAACCATTCAAGAGTCAAATTCAACGTTTTCCAAATTAAGACCAACCCCGCCCGGCTGGCGACATCGATGAGCTCGTGCTCCTCGCCCAAAAACCAGCTGGCTGCCAACTTGAAGATTGTGGCGTAAATTGCCCTCCGAAATCGCAGTTGCAATCGCAGTTAACAGGCGATACACACAAGTAAGTGGGATTTGGAATGGAGGCGTTGAAGCATGCGGTGGCGGAGGCGGAGGCCACTAAGGCGTCGGATGGCCAATGGGGCGTTGCTGGGGGATTGCTGGCCGCAGTGGCCACCCAGTGGGTGGCAATGTCAACCCCTCCAAGGGCACGAGGTTTCGCCGCGACCTGTGCCATTATAATCTGGCGAACATCGCGATTTCAGTGCTTGTTCGGCTACTGCCGCCGTGATTCACGATTGTCCAGCAGCAGCAACAGTAGCAGCAGAAACAACAACATTCAAATCCACGAAATCATCAATGACTCCCAACCACCGCCTGACGTAATTATCCGCATGCACTGTCCGCAACTAAAGCAAATTCTGGTCTTTGCCCGTTGTTACAGGTAGCACAGATACCCAGGATGCAGAACAATCCCAGCCCACAGCTACCCTGCAAGGGTATACTTAAGACTTCGCGCAGCTTCGACAAGTCGGGAGCCAGGTGAGGTCATCCAATGACCCCAGTTAATAGTTCTTATTAAGTGGTACTTTTTCTCCCCTCTAAAAGTTTTCGCAAAAGTGCCAAGTTTGATGAGCTGAACGTGATGCAGACCTTCCATCCGGCCGACAAGGACTACGGACACATGAAAATCGATGAGCCCAAAACGCCGTACAACTACACGGAGGGCTTCGACGAGAACAGGGACGAGCTGGACACGGAGCTGCTAGTGGAGAAGTATGTGGAGCCTGCCTGTTGTTTACTTGCTAAATGGCTGTCGAGGGTTTGGCAAGAGCATAGAGTATCAAATTTCAAACAAACCTGATTTCCAGAAAATGCGTCGTTCTTTTGTTTTTGTTTTTTTGTTTACATGCACCTCAGAGATTCAGAGATTAAACAATCGTTGATAATTACAAGATTTACAGAACGATAAGCAAACGTTTCAACATTATTGAGAAATATACGCATCTGACTGGCTCAGTATTTGTAAGATTTTGTAACTAACTTCATAACTAATCAATTTCTTTAAAACTAGTCAATTAAATGTTTGAAAAGTTCTTTAAAATTTGAATGGCTAATTTAAAGCAGTCCCAGTCACTTTGTAGGTTACAATATTGTTGCATTTACACATACTAAAACCACACATTCCTTTGCAGACTGCGCATAGCGGCTAACACACAGCCGTCGACAGAGAGCATCGAGGACGAAGGTTCTTCCGGTGATGAGCAGCCTCTTAGCGAAGAGGAGCGACGTAAGTGCCACGAACAAACCAGATTACAAACATGGCTCAAACTTATTCGCTTGTAGAACGACGACGCGAGTTTGAGCGACGTCGCAAGGCCCACTATCGCGAGTTTGAGGCCGTCAAGCTGGCACGGAAGCTGATCCAGGAGGAGGACGACGACGATGACGACGATGACAAGGGCGCGGATAGCCGGCCCTCGGGCTCGGCACAGGGCGCCTCCAGCTCCGGCCGCTTTACGAGCAGTTCGGCAAAAAGGTCGAGCTCTCAAGCTGACTCCACCACATCCCCGTCTACCAGCGCCGGCCAGAACATGGACCTGGAGCCATCGAACAACTAGAAGCAATGTCAACCCATCAATCAATCACAAATGTTTACCTAGCGGACAATGGACGATTCTGAGGGCAGCTCATCCAAACAATAAACAAACGAAATTATATCAAATTATCAAGTGCTGTGCGAGCGCGGAGTGAGAAGTGAATGCTGATTACCAGAGTGGCGAGGTGCACCCGTGATTAATTGAATTTACCCAACTAAACACGAAAAAGCCAACCGCCGCCAAGGTTCGTCATCGAGTAGTGAACACAGCCGATAAGCCGAGGCACTTAATTGTTGCAAATTGAGTTTCCAGCACAAAGAATGTGCACCTGGTCGGTGAATTTGATTGTGCGACACAAAATATAATTATCGTGTATGCGTCTAAGCCGTAGCGTACTGTTGCAAATGTAGTTAAACAAAGTCTTTTAAATTGATATCGAGATGGATACCCACTGAGTTTTAGTCCATGTCTCCCGTTCGCAGCTCCGTTTGCATTTAATTTGATTGGATGCCCAGTGCCAGTGCCACAGAATGGATTACTTGTTGTAACTAGCGTTGAAGTTGATTTGGCCTTACTTTTAGTTATTTATTAATACGATACTATATGATTACTATTAAGTTTTAGCCATCGAATGCGAACGTTTCAATAAAGAGAGTCCAAAACCCAATTGAAAAACCTCCGAAATAGTTCTCGTCGCGAGTATTCAAACTTGCCGTTTATTTAGTTTCTCATTTCATATTAGTTATACATCGTAGTGTAGTTGCATATAGACATTGCTGGTCATAGTAATTGGTAAAGTCTGAGAGTTTTGCGCCCGTCCTCGACCTCGCCCCGGCCACATCCCAGCTCCATCCACCAAGATCTGGGCACTGAGTCCGCGGCTGCTCGTCCAGCAGGCTAAGGCATCCTCATACTATTGCCCGGGGTCAGCGGGCGGACTAAAGGGCCGACCTCGGGTGGCTGGAGGGGGACTGAAGGGGCATTTTGGGGGGAAGATCCGAACGAGCTCGTTGAATTTGATGTCCTTGAATGGCAATTTTGGAACTCACAGATTTGTTTCGGCGCGGTCGCCTGATCTCTTGTATAACTTACTTATAGCGGGACAATTGACGGTTTTTTATAATTTGCAGTTTAACAATGTCAAGGTAAATATATATATGTGCATATAGTATAGATATAAGCAAAAAGCATGCAAACTCAAACCATAAACATTGAGAAACCCGTGCGAGCGGCTCCAAAGGATGTGCCATCAAACCGGGGAACTCGTCAATTAGTGAATGTGGTTCCACCAAGCGGACTCCTTGAGCTCATCGCTGCACGGGATCTGTGTTAAATAGAATATGCTCACAATAAATAGTTTAGTAGTGCTCTTAAATCTAAGACAAGGTTCAATCTCATTATCATTTTTCCGTCTTGGGTCGCATCGTTTCCATTTCATTTGCTAGTTAACAGTGTAACAATCATCCTAGAATCTAGCACTATATGGCTTGGCATATAGTTATGGTCTCCTATCTTAGCCATACTATATGCACATGCTCCAAATATGTGTATATAGTATGGGTACGTGGAGAATTTCGTTATCCATCGCCCCGTTCGGGCATCCGGATCAGGCTACCAAGCCCACGAATCATCATTAGTATTATCTTGAGTGGGTGCCATCCGATCGTTGGATCATCAGGCACCTATTATACAGAAAATATTGAAGATGATTCACGGGATGGAGTCACACCTGCTGTAGTATTGCATTCACCTATCATGGGTTCGTTTCGTAATATATGTATAGTATATATGGCGTCGTTAGTGGTCATTTGAGATTAGTATAACAATAGTATATATCCTATTTATAGATTGGTTCGTTAGTGATTCGTTTTTTAGTAACATGATCGCTTTCAGTATTATTGTGAAGTGGGTTCCATTGAATTGTTTGCTGTTGTTCTTGTTCTAGGCATCCTAAAGTCGCCTTCCCAAACCTAGCCGAACATGTGCTGGGTGCCTGGTGGCACCTTGTAGCTGGGATAGCCATTGTTCAACTGGTGCTTGGCAAAGAAGGGTGTGTAGTCCTGGGATTAGACATGGGCATTAATATCGGCTTTATATTGAACTCGAGGGGACATAGCCTACCCGGTTGACTCTCCTGGGACGGCAGACGGGGCCCAACGCCAACTGGCGTCGTTCCTCGTTCTCGCGAGCCGCTGCCTCCTTGTACTCCGGTGGTGGCCACTTCAAATCTCCGCGCAATTTGCTGCCTCCTAGTGAAATGCATTGCATATTAACTAAAGGTTAGCCCATTTGAGGAGGAGCACTTACCCTGATAACTGACGGCGGCTGGCTGCGAAGTGTAGACTGGCGCAGGCTGCTGGCTGACTGGAGCCTCCTTGCGCAGGGTGATGATGCCGGGACTGGCGCCCCGGTAGCTATCCTGGCCAGCGTAGGCTCCCGGATACTGCTGCTGCTGCAGGTCGGTCTGATCCTGCGAGTAGGGCAACTGGGGCTGCGAATAAGAATTGTATTGGGGTTGAGCAAAGGTCGAGCCACCGTTTTGCTGCGGGTAATAGGATGGCTGCTGCTGCTGCTGCTGTTGGTACGGTGAAGCCTGGTACGATGGCTGCTGCTGCGACTGCTGGTTCCACTGTGGTGGCTGATAGGGCGCCTGAGCCTGCGATTGAGGCTGATATTGCTGCTGCGGAACCTGCTGCTGCTGCTGTTGCCACTGTGCTGCAGGCTGCTGCTGCTGGCCATCGTAAGACGGAGCACCGTACTGCTGCTGCTGTTGCTGCTGCTGATATTCAATCGGTGGTGCAGTGGTGCATTGGTGCAGTGGTGCAGTGGTGTTTGGTGGCCCAACATGCATGTTTGACATGGGTTTCGATCACAGGTTATGATTTGGTTTCGTAGATGGGCGGTGTTTTGTTGGTTGGGAGGTGCATACGACACATTCACATTGCATGTGGACAGACAGATAGAATATGTTGGAGATAGAGATAGACAAAAGACCATAGTTAGAGGGTGGGAGGCTGAGTTTCTAGTTGAGTATTGGGTAAGTTTGGCGCAGTTTACAGCTGAAAGTCGCAGAGAAAGAAGCAAACGCATTAAAGCCTTGGGTTAAGTGAGTACTTGCATAGGAACAGGAGTTAGTTTAGATTCCGCCATGCAAAAGTGAGTGAGCACAAAGTTACCAACAGCTATTTGATATTTAGGACGATAATCTAAGCTTGATCTATTCCCTAAAACTCAAATCATAAGGCTTTTAAATTTAATAATATTTCTGCAAAGCATTAGTAGAAATTCTGACTAGGCTTGAAGGCCATCACAGTTTAGACCATTACATAAAATATTCTTAAAATAATCTCCTTCATGACCAAGTTGCAAAGATGCATTTCTAGAGAATCCATAAGAAACCGTAAGAGTAACAGATTAAGTTTAGTAGAGAATGGTATATAAAATAGAAAACATGGTTATTCGAGGCAAAGGCTTACAGAAAGATAAATACGGGTTATTTGAATGAGAGAAAATAATGATTAGTAGTGTTTCAGAAGGGAGCTTAGTAGGTGTTCTAGATAGGAGGTGGCAAAGCGGCTACGACAGAAGGAGATCAACGGTGGCAGGTGGCAGGTGGCAGGTGGCATAGACGATCGCAGCCGCAGTGCAATAGGTAGCATCACTTGGCTTGGCCAATCCGACCAAGACGGTACCTGCGGCTGCTGCTGATAGGATCCCTGGAACGGAGGATAGGCTCCTTGGCCGGCGGTGAATTCACTGCGTGACTTGGGCTGCGGAGCACCAATGTGTTTCCAGCCACCACCCACATTGTTCGCCGCCTGCAGCGGCTCCTGCGGATAGTTGGACAGATAGTTCTGGTACGGATAGCCGCTGGGATCGGATGCGGGAGCTGGAGATGGAGCTGGAACCTGGACGGGTTCCCTCGAGCGCTGCCGACTGAACTGCGCCTGTGTGTACTGCACAGGCTGCTGCTGCTGCTGCTCCTGCTGCGGATAGACATCTGGGTACTGGTTGGTGGAGTAGGCGGTGCTGGTGGGCAGTGGTGCTGTTGGGTAGGCATTTTGTGGTGGTTGGGTGGTGCGTGGCTGGACGTTGTTATAAATGGGGCCCTGCAAGTTGTCAGTGTGGTTAGGCTGGGAAATGGGAGTACGGAGTTGGGTCTCCAGATGCTATGTACATGGCGTTTTAATGCCCCACCGGATGAGATACAAGTTGAGATACATTTATATTTACACTCGACGTACACGAAACTCGACTATATAGTGTGTTCTATATACAAATCATTGGCTTAACTGGAAAAGCGGGTATGGCAATTACCTGAGGTGGAGCGGCAGCCGCTGCTGTGGGGGCGTGGCCCTGCGGATAGTAGCCTCCGGAACCGGGAGCCGGACTCTGGGTCTGCGGCTGGGGGGTGAACTCCCGGATGATCCGCTCCTCGGAGGCCGGTGGCCAGGCCACGCGCTTGTAGCCTGAATCGAAGAGAGGAGAAAGGATAACGATAGATACTCGAAATTCTTGCGATGGTGATGATGCAGCTGCTCAGTGCAGCTGCCGTGCAATAACACTCAACAAAATGCGGCCAAAACGTGGGCGTCACTATAACCTTGGATGCCGCACTGCATCCCAGTGCTAGCGAAACAATTTGAAAATGATTTAAGCCAATTAAAATTATAGCCAATGTGGAATAGCAATGCGCGAACACGGGGGAGGCGGAAAGGGGGCGGGGCTGGTCGGCGGGGACGGCGGAGCGGATTCTGCAAATCATACACGGCTGTCATTGCGTCTAAAATTAGACGACGAGAACGAGTCGAAAGCTAAGAATTTGACATTACTCATGGGGTGATGAGGATGTCGTCGCTGTGGATGCAACATGTTGCTGCTGCTGCATCCGCAACATTGTTTGCTCAAAATCGTATGGGATCGGGCCGATATAATGTTATATACTCGGTCATGTGCATGTGGATGGTGTGAAAATTATGTGTGTTGTTTACCCTCCAGATTTTTGTAGTTCTCGTTGATGATTTTCCACTGTGCGACCATGGTTATATGTATATTGCTCTCTATTCGCGTATCGCTGTCTATTTAGCTATCTATCTATATGGCCGATCGGGCCTTTGCGTAAGAATAAAAATATTCTCGTATAGATATCAAAAATAACAAATACACTTATATACCAAGATGTATATGTTTGTTTTTTGCGGCTATTTTTTGACTGGTCCACTCGCCGAAAGTCGAGAAGAGCGTTATATAATCCCGAGGTGCAATCAATTGAATTCGATATTTGGAGAGTCTGCTGATCAGGAACACCACGGATCGGATGATTATGATTCTGATTTTGAGGCTGTATCTCGCAGATAGGCGCGCGTTTCGTTTATCCTTCGGATCGATATCGTTGAAAAGTAAGAAAAAAATAATGATTCGGGAAACAGGCGATAGAATTCTTTTTTTTTGTAATTCAATTTCGATTTAATTCGATTCGATTCGCGTGCGTTTGCCCAATTTAATTTCTATTTTCTATTATAGCTATTGGCTATTTCTATTTGCTAATTCGTTGATCGTTCGCGCTGCGATATGTTTGCCTTCGATGTATGCTACTAAGTGAGGAGCCAGAGAAATGCAGAGGAAATTATTGTTAGCCAGCGCCAAGATGTATGTAGAAACATTGGCACTCGTGTGGGTTCCAACCCACACATTCGGCACACACTCGACTTTTGTATCTGTAGCTGAATCTCAATCTGAATCTGAATCCGCGAGATGCGCGAAAGTAAAGGCTTCTCCGAGAGCGGTACCAACCCATAGATACAGCCATACCTATGCAGATACCTATGGGTATATTCCGCGAGGGTATGCTAGGTATGCTGATCTTGATCGGGATGGATACCTCGCTATCCACCCCCCAGCTGCTGGCATTGTTTACACACCTTCGATTTTTGTGTGATTTGTGGGCCCCACCTTGAAATACTTATCATCATGCCCGCTCCCTCACTCGCGGCAGAAGATCTCAAGGTGCTTGCCACAGCTATCTATATATCTTTATATCTATATATATGGGGGGATATATTCGCATACTTGCGGTTCTTTGCCCAGATCTATATAGGATGCCCAAGTAGGTTGGATGACTGTTTATTGTTATGGCGATTTGTTATGCCTGGGCGGCAAATCAAGTGGGCGCACCACACGTCCATCCATCTTGCGGATATAGTACGATCCCAGCCAACTAACTATCTATCATCTATCTTGTGGCCAAAGCAGATATAAGTACTTTGTGACTCAAAGCCAGCGAGTCGGTGGCTAAAATTAAACGGCTGTCATTTTGGGCGAACTAAAACAAATCTGTTTTTAAACGTATTCACACAGGTGTACGACACAAGTTGGCTCATTAAAATTATTAGCAAGCTTGTAACTCATATGTCTGCCATTTCACCCATAGGAATAAACCCTGCATTCGCAATTATTTGATATAATAGGAAAGGTTTGCTCGTTAGCCACGCAACAAATTCGTTTTGACCGTCAGACGTCACAGATAAATACGAAAAATTTGATGATCACAATATCTAGTTGGCCCACAAAGAGTCATTTAAATTTGTGCATGCATGACAATTAACATTGGGTACAAACAAGCGTGTTCCTTACATATGTTTAAACAATACACTTTAAATATGTTTATGCATACAGGGCTTCAAATTACTTCAAGGGATTTTTGCTAAGAATTCCTAATGCGAGTTAATGACTATTTGTACTAAATAGAAAATGTCCGGCAATATATCTAGTTAATTAAATTATTCCTTGGACCCAAATATATATCTGTGATATATGTCTGCTCATAAAGTCGGCAATATAATTCGAAAATAGACGCATGTGATCTGTCTGTGAAGCATATAAGCTAAAGGAAAATGTCATATTATGGAAAAAATCCATAGCGGGTATCTTTGAAGAGCCCAAAATATCTTAAAGTTTGCTGATCCATTAAAATCCTATTTAGATACGACAGTTTAGTAACTAAACTAGAAGCAAACGAGCAAGGCACATTTATTTTTCAACTCAAAACCTGAGAACTGAATCACTTGGTTCGCTATTCGCCTAATCCCTAAGTGCTCAAGGTCTCAAATCGACTGAGTCACTCGAAAGACACATTGAATCATGAGTACGAATTCCTTGAATCACACAGAATGGGATACAAAAATCGGTGGGGACGGCACGCACCTTCAATACCCAGATATGGACGTGGTGATACATTATCGAAGGATCGGTTGACGCCGAAGTCTCGCTGCACCTCGTCGAAGGAGGCCAGGGATTTGAACTTGTGCTGCTCCGCCGACTCGAGACTTGGGAATTCGAAGGGCGAGGGCTGTGCCCCAGAACGGGGCGTGGCGGGGGGCGTGGCAGCCAGCATTGATGAGGATGCGGACATGCTCTGCTGCAGTGGCTCCGTGGCCGTTTTCACCAGAAGTCCAATATTGTGCCCTTCCAGCTGCGGCACATGCGAGAATTTCGCCGGAAGATTAACGGGCGATGGTGAGCCCTTCGTCTGGACGGAATTGAGGCCGTAGGGGGAGCTGGAGCGCTGTGGTGCTTCTATGAGTGGAGCGGGATACTTGCGAGATGGCAGCGGACTGGGCGAACGACTTCGCTCCCATGTTACTTCCGTTTCCGGTTTCTGAAGGGCCAACTGCTTCGGTGGAGGAGGAGGCGGTGGCGGTGGCGATGGAGCCGGAGATTCTGTCGCTGGTGTGGTCACAATCTCCACGAAACTCCGCTGACGCTGCAGTTTCTCGGGCGGCACACTTTCCTTGGCTGACTGCATATCCTCCCAGGAGATCTGACGCGAGATGTACGGACTGCGTATCTCATAGGTGGCTTTGTAGTTCCTCAAGGGTTCGTTGTGGAGGTTGGCAATGCGCCACTGATCGGCTTTGCTAAGTTTACCCCAAGTGTTTGGTGAGCAGCGCATTTCGTCGCAAACTGGGCAGTAGACTGAGGAATCCCCATGGCCGCAGGATCTGTCCTTTTCCTCCACTTCCGCATCCTTTGCAAGATCTGCCTTGGCCTCCATGGCATCCAAATCTTTTCCACTCTCTTTTTGGATAGCTGGTTTGTCTTCCACCAACTCCTTTTTGGCTGGTGATACCACGTTTGCATCCTCTTTGCCAGCCTTTTCAACATCCAGTTTGGTAAGCGGTTTTTCCTTAACGTCAAGTACCTTTTTACCTTCCCTTAATCCTTTTTTGGCCAGCTGCTCCTCTATTGCCTTTCTCAACTCCGTTTTGGGCAGGACCTCCTCGCTATTTACCACCTGCTCCTCCTTCCACTCCTCGAACTCCTTTTTGGCCAACTGCTCATAGTTGGCAATTACATCCGATACGTGTCTGTACTCCATGTCCGCGTCCTGCTCCTCGTCCTTGATGACTACGTGCTCCGCTTCAGAGACAGCTGGCGTTGTCCGGACTTCTACGTGCATGAGTTTGGCGGGTTCCGGTTTTTGTTCCAGTGCCACCGCAATCTTGTGCAGATCCTCCAGAGCCCGCTCCACATTGGGCACGTTTTCAGTAAGTGATGCCTCCTCCTCCTCGGCACCGGCATCCTCCTTAATCTCCTTGGAAAGCCTTTTGGGTAATCCAGCTGCCCGGGTGTAAATCTGGCGGAGAATCGCCTGCAGTGGGCTTTCCACGGCCAAAATGGGTGATTGGCGATGGGCGAAGATGTCCCAGGATTCGTTAGACGCCGAACTAAGGGGTCTGGCGGGTAGTGCTGGTGGTGGCGGCGGAGGCGGTGGTGGTGGTGGTGGAGCTGGTATTGGGGCAGGAGTGGATACTGGTGTGGTCTGGGCACTCCTCTGCAGCGCCTGCTTGGCATTCTCCATATAGGCATCGATCTGGAGCAGGTGCTCCGCTATGGATTGCTGGATGTGGGCATACTTCGCCTCCAACTGGGCAATTTCAACATGGGCTTCATGCTGCTTCTCCGTAGTTGTCTCCAGGCTATAGATGCGACCCTGTCTTTTCGTCTGCTTCTCCTTAGCCTGCGAATCCTGGCCAGATTTGGAGCGCATGACCGGCGGAGTAGCGGGCGGTGGAACTGGAGTGGTTGGCGTACTGCTCGACTGCCGCTGGAGCAACTTAATCCCACCGGTGGCACTCACATAGGTGGGACTCGCGGCTCGGTGCTGCATGTCCTCCATCTCCTGCTGATCCTGCAGATACGAACAGGCGTCGTCGTAGATCTGCTGAGCACTCAGCTTGAGCTGGTCCGTCGATGCCTCCACGCGCACGGGCACAATGCGAGTGTTGGCCAATGGACTCAGATTCGGATTCACCGGACTGATGATCCCATTTGTGGCCAAAGCCAGAGCCATCTGCTGCTGCTGCTTAACTGCCAGGTTGTCAATTACCATTCGGCCTGCTGTCTTCGCTTGATTGAGATTTGCGGCAGCTGCCTGCACCGGTGTCGGTGGCAGCGGCAAGGTCTCCAAGTCCACATCTTGACCAGAATTGGGCTCATCCTCGCTGTCGCCGTCGTGGCCATAGGAGATCTTCACCTCCGTGGCCAGTTTTATGCACCGCCGTTGGACTTTTGGCTTTGCGGCTCTCGGCTTAGGTGGCGGCAGTTCCGGAGCACCCACTGTCCGCTTCCGGGAGCGGCCGCGATCCAGGGAGTAAGCCTGTCTCTTGTACCTGGGCCTATATGGAGTGATTTGAGCGGGCAGAGTTGGCGTGGTGGACCTTTTGTGGGCCAGTTGCTCGTAGTACTCACATCGCGGCGCCACCAAACCCAAATCCACATCGGCTGCCTTGGTTTCTGGAGCGGAGAAGCCCTTCGATAAGGGAGTTTGATGGAAAACCTCCGCCAGGTCGCGTTCTTCGGTGACCTTTTGGGGAGTTTTGGATCGCTCTTTGAAGCCACCATCACCATCCCGCCGACGCTGCTCCCTCACTTCTTTGGCGGTTGGTTCGATTACCAAGGTGGGACTCTGGAACTTCTCCCTCAGAGCCTCAATACTGTGTGAGGGACTGCAGGAGATCTGATGGCTCTGTTCGGGATGGATGGACGGTTGATCCTGCTCAGCTGGAGGCCAGCTGTGATCCCGCTTGAGCAGATGCCGTTTGGTGGCCAGACGGTTGATTTTCAGCACCGTGTCCCGATCGATAGTGATGTCCTGCTGGTGACTGAGATAGTCTGTTTTGATCTGGTTGAGCAGCTGCTGGTGCAGCGTGTGATGCAGTGCATCCACCTCGCCTCGCTGACGCGGGCGACTCTGCCTTTCAATGGGGTAAAAATCTTTTGGGGGGTGGTCCCCTGAATTTATTGAAATTTATCTGTAAAAAACACTAATATTGGACGGGCACTGGGACTGGAGTTGGCTGTTTTGTTGAATGTTTTTACACTGTTTCTTTTTGTCTCGGCAACATGAATTAAACGCGCACAGACAAAAATCCAATAAAATAGCATAGCTTACCACATTTGGCTTGTTGTTCTTCCTCTTCGACGGCGCGCAGAACGGCCGAGTTGGCCAAGTTCAGGGGCTTCGTTATTTGCTCGTCGACTTCAATCCTAAAAAAACGTATAACAACAATTTAATTAGTATACAAAACACAGCGTATAGTGTATTAGGAAACATTTCAAATTTTGCGGCATGCACTGCTTGTGTGTGTGGTACACTGCTTTGACTGCTTGCAAGCAGTTGCCGCCAAACTTAAATTTATTTTTAAACACGTCGCCTCGCAGGCATGAATTCGATTGCCATTAATTCTTTTGGCATTCGTTATTTATATACATATTAAAGGGAAAAAATAAAGTATGATTTTACATATTTTAGAATATTACTTTAAAATTTCAGTTTTAAATCCTCATTATGCTGCGTAACTAGGTGAAAAAAGTATAGTAATAAGGCGATTAAAGTCATTGAAAATGAAAGCCCCAATAACTAGCGAACATATACACCATTACACATGTAAGTTTGTGCTATTATATATAGATTCCGCCCATCTCCGGGTGCATCGTATTGAACGAGAGTTACGCGTTAATCCATGGGCATAAATTAATGATAGCACCCTTCGATGTCCTGACATTGAAAATTAGCAAGCACGCTCTGGCCCACGCTGACCCCATAAGACTAATCCAATCTGACAGGTGAAAGTGCGCCGGCGGATATAAAAATGGCTGAATGCGGCGGAAACTGCACCACATCCTATCCAGCAGCAGTTCCAGCAAGGCAATGATGTTCCGCTCCGTGATCCCAGTGCTCCTGCTCCTGATCCCGCTCCTGCTGTCCGCAGAGGCCGCAAACTCGGTGCGGGCTTGTGGCCCGGAATTGTTGGACTTGCTGAGGGTGGCCTGTCCCAATGGATTCAATTCCATGTTCGTCAAGCGAGGCTCCCGTGAGTATCTGCTGTTTTTGGGGCTGGTGTTTGGGGTTTCCAAACGGCACGAACTCACTTAATTTACTTGCAGTGGGGCTATTCGATTATGAGGACCTCTTGACCGATCAGGATAGCTCCGATTCTCACCCTCACCACATGAACTCGCTGTCCAGCCTTCGGCGCGATTTTCGAGGCATTGTAGATGCCTGTTGCCGCAAACCGTGCAACTTCGTCACGTTGAGGACATACTGCCTTTCCTAAAATTGCTACGATACCTGGGCGACATATTTCGTAAAAGTATTGAGTATAAACTATATGCACAGCTTTCAAACATGCAAATAAAATAAACAAGCGCAATTCGAAATATGGCTTTCTAATTTTGTCATACGGAGATAAAAGGGGACGTTATAAATGAAAATACATTTAACACATACATATTAAGGAACAATTAAGCCACATTGTTTCAAAATACTTTTTGATTTTATAAAATGCTTATGGCGTTTAAAAGCGAAGTGCAGTTTTTGTACAAACAGATACATTTGGTATTTAAGAAATGAAAATATGTGTGGCCCGAAAAACGTATTATTTTTAAATACACTTTGATAAATTCCAATTCTATTATAACAATGTTTTTTTTAACAAAAACGTGCTCCTTTGAGCGGAAGGAAAAGCGAATTTTGATTTAAATCGCAGCAAGTTGGGTGGAAATTTTCGCACAAACAAAACTATGCCTTCCGCTTGCCAGGCGATTTTCTTTAAGCTGCCGAAAAGAGTTCTCAACTTTAATTATAATTTGCTTGAAATGTTTTGCTCTCGACGCATCATCTTAATCTGGCCGCAATGCTTTGCCTCTCCAAAAATGGATAACAAACAGAAATATTTAGGCTAAGAAAATGTGCCTGCTGAGATAAGACCTTAAAGAATTTATGGATGACAAAGTCCAGAGATAATCGCCAAGCTTTAAGCTTTTCTGGCAATTTAAGGCGCACGACAGCCGTTCCTCATTAGGTTCGCCATTGACCTTTTCGCTGGGAGCCTTCGAAAAGAAATCCCTCGCATCTGTCGGCTTCAACTTTAATTAGTTGATTTATTTGAAGCAATTGTAAACATTGAGACAGCCTCATTCGCTGCAGGCCAATGCTAGCTCAAAAATACAGAGATATGTACATTCAACTCATTGAATTTTGATCGAGATTTGCTCAAATATTTGCCCAAATATGCACTTAGTGGCGTCGCTTAATTAACACAGCTTTTAATTATTTTCTGTTCGAAATTTGATTGGTTAATTTTCCGATTTCCCTGTGATTCACCGATGGGCAGAAAGTCAAGAGATGCCTCACTACTTTTTTGGCTAGACGCCTGCCGCTTGTTTGTTGACATTGTTTTAGTTGTTCTTTTTTTCGACTCGATTCTGTTGCATTAAATCGGTGCACTAATGCTAAACTGAGTGACTCATCGACTAGCTGACGTCTTGAATTATTTTTAATCACTTACACGCGCAGAAATCAATTGGCATTTTCGAATGACTTAATATATAGTACATGATGGTACATGATCTAAATGTAATAATATTTCTGGTATCTTATCAAGTAATCTATCTTGTGGATTTTTATCAAAAACATGCAAATAAACTGTATATCTCGTATATTTTATATTTATATTTGTATATTACAATTCTCACAATAAGAGTCCCTTAAAAGGCTTAGCAATACAAACATTTGTTAGCAGTACAAATATTTTGTAGACCTAAATCATTTTCGAAAATGTGAGTTGTGTACTTAAGTTTCATTTTAGGATCAAGCTCTTGTATCCCAAATGCTCCTTTCAGCTTGTTCACACTTGACTGGCGTTATATAAAAAGTATCTTTTAGGTTGCTCCCGCTACACGTACATTTTATTTTTGATGTTTAAACTTAGGCGAAGCCTTGGCTCAGCTGTTTTCGGAAAAGTTGCTCCCTAATTCGGGAAAACACGTTACGCACACTCACGCTCGCGAATATGCGATTGAAAGTTTTCAGTTTTTAGTTTTCAATTTTAAGTTGTCAGCTTATGGTTTTCAGTTTTTGGTCTCTGGTAATTAGATGTTAAAGACTCCGCCGTTGCAGTTGAACACGTTTTGTCGCACGCATAGTCACCGAATAACTGAAAGCCACTTAAAGTTTTTTGCTCACCAGAGCAGATCACCACTATATCTATCTGGCGGATCGTATCGGATCGGTTGGACGAGGTGAGGTGAGCTGATGCTGAGGCCGGTTTATTCAAACAACAATGCCAGCGATACTCGTATGTGTAGGGGCACTACAGCGAGATGGTGTTATTGTTGTGGCGACAACAGCACCAGCTACAAATGAATCTCAAGTCGGAAAAGCATCGCTGAGATACGCGCCGCCGTGTGTTGCCTATAAAGCTTTTTGGTAATTACAATTAAACGTCAAAGCACTTAATTGTAGATGCCGTTGTGTGTTTTTGAGTATCTGTGTGCCACGGCAACAAATTGGCAGCAGTTGCAGTTGCAGTCGCTGCCTCAGTCGACGCTGCAGTCGCGCTGCAATGCACAAAGTGAGGGGCATCCCCTCTAAAGCCCCCACAAAGCATCCCCTAACCCCCTTGTTTGCCCACTAATTAATGTGTTTTGTGCACCTGTTTTGTGGCAGCGGATTTTGTATCTGTCAAAATAGACCAGCCCGCAAAGGAGGCTTTCGGTGGGGCCTTGTGTTACCAACGCATTTCCAGGGCTATTCGACTAAATTAGAGTTTCTTCCATTATGCATATTGGAATCACCCTTTAGACACTCACGGATAAAATATTTACATAAATATTTATCCTTAAAACGTGTCTACTTTAATTGATCTTATCTCGTATTCATCTTTGGTAATTAAATTTAACAATGCGAAATTTTGGAAGCTCGCTTAAAACACTTTAAATGCTTAAAAAAAATCGTATGAAAATGTAGTGAAAATATATAGAAAATATTGCTTAAGATTATCATAAAAATAATAAATGTGAGCCAATATAAATACTAAAAAATATGTTTTTTGGAAAATAAACCTTTTGGTTATAGATTAGATTAATACCCTGATTCGGAGATATGTAGATAAAAGTGGCGGCTTGCGACGCCCTGTTTTAAAGCCACTCAATGACCCCAAAAAGCGACTAGAAATTGCGCTAGGAATTATGTATCCCGGCTGAGAGGAAAGCAAACGCAGCTACCCCACCGACCATTTTACGAGCATTTTTCCCGCAGCTGGCTGCTTTCATCTATTTTATGAAATTATGCATTTAAATGTATGATAATCATTTCGCTTGGGCAAACAAGCTCTATTTTCTTTTTCTTATTTTTAATCATTTTCCCCCGCCGCTGCGTTACTTACCCCTCGCCGCCGAAGGCTTTCAGCTCGCGGTTCAAGGTGGCCTTCACGTTCTCCTGGGAATAGAGGCCCATGGGCGAGTTGAACTGCTTGTGCACCAGCTTCCGTTGTAGGGCGGCCATTTTGTATGGATGTTTGTTTCCTTTGTGGACTGCTTCTTCCTGCGGAATCGAGTTGCTCCTTTGGAAATGTTTAACTTCGCTTGCTTGCTGGCTGGCTTTTGTTTGCCTCGTAGCTTTCTAACTGCTTCGAATGTCTTTGGAAGTTTTTCGAAAATATTGTTGATAAAAAATATTTTTTAAAATCTTCCACTCGACTTAGTTCCGCTTATCGGGTTTTCTTTTGTTGTTCTTCTCTGCTGGCGGTATGTGGGCGATTCGATAAAAAGAATCCTAAGCACTTTCCCCTACTTCAGTTGGTCTTAATGTTAATCGTTAGATGTCGGTCGTTGTTCGTTCTGTAATTAAAATGCAAAATAAAACACGCCGTCAGCTAATGAGGTAAGGAGTTGGCAATAATGTGATTAAGTTTCAATGGCAGCGTTTAATTAATTCTTAAACAAGCAGTCATAAAAGTTAATGAGTTGTGTAGTAGTGTATTTCTTTATACTTGCATAAGGACTATTATACATTTATTAAACTATCAAATAAAAAATGTGCAATTGGCTGCCTATAACGCAAACACATTTACTTTGTTTTGCATAATTAATTAATGTGTTAACACTTAATTAAAAGGCTGCAAATGTAATGTGCAAATGGAATATAAAACAATTCCCCTGTATTTAATAACGACTGAAACACTTTTATTTGCCAATGCTGCTAAATTTGTATAACTTATCACTAAATTCCCCTCTGAATATATGTAAAAGTCTAATAATAAACGCACAACAAAAACTGGGAGACACAAGTACAAGTATTCGAAACAAGAGCGAAATAATTTCACAAATATTTCCAGCAGCACCAGCACTTCAATGTCAACGATCTATATATAACACTTTAATGCCATCAAAAACTGTAGAAGTATATATAGATTTTATAGTTAAAAGTCGCTCGATTGCGAACTGGAATCAATTGCCATTGGCTACAACAAATCGCATTTTGATTTTACAGCTGCTGCTAACAAATTACAATTGTGGAATTTGCAACGAAATATCGAAAATATGCAAAACGGCACGTATAGTATTTATTTTTCCAATTTCCTGAGACACTCACTCACTACTGTCACATTTAGAAATGTATCTTAAACTAATTTGAGCACCGCCTGGCGGCTGGGCAAAACAAAAAGTATTTTATATTTTTGTGTGTGCTCGTCAGACGATTTTGTTTGTCTTGCTATTTTGTGCGTTGGCCTAAAAATAGAGCCAAAAATATTGAAATGTGCTCAATTTTTTTGCCACACTCATATTTTCCACACACACTCGAATCGGCTACTCTCTCGATGTCTCTATTTTGAAATTGAAATTCCCGCCTTGTGTGTCACCTCAAATAAAATTAGCAGCTGGGAGGAAGAGATACCATTATTTAGATTTGCGTCATTTCGAGGAAAAACGTACGAAAATCCCTGGGGATGCGGGGAAAACGGCTATGGCAATGGCTGTATGGAAAATGCAATAAAATGATACTTGAAATCATCGTAATGAAGTATATTTGTGTTTGCAGGCATTTTATGCCGCTTAATTGCTTCTTGTTGCTGCTGTTGCTGCTGTTGCATGTTGCTACTGCTGCTGCCGTTGGTGTTGCAGCTGCCACAGCTGCTGCCCCCGTAAGCACGCAATATTCTGACTGGGCCAACGGAGGCGGACCAAGAATCGCACAAATTAATCAACATTTAATAAAATATTATGCAAATTACACACAAAAGGCAGGAAAGCAGCGCAATACGGCGAGAGAGAAAAGAGCGCCAGCAGCAACAAGAGCTTGCCACTTGATGTCCCAATTAAAGTTTAACGCAAAACTCATACAAACACACTCGCACACTGCACACCCACACACTCACAGCACACCCATACAGAGGCACACGAACAGGTGCGTGCTGCACTCTGTACTTAGCCCACGAATTGTAAGGGAATTTGCATAAAAAATTCGTGCAAAAATAATGTTTCAAAAAGTGAACAAAATGAGCAAGGGTGTGCCACACCATGCCATACAAAATATATAACCCTGTGCCATATACAATGTGCCATATGCCAGCCCACTCATTTCGGAGCAGCTCTTTCAATACCCTTTCCTTGAAACAAATTAACAGCCGCAGGACATGTGTACATTCAAATTAAACCAGAGTTGCAGTGTCGAGAGTTATGTTTTTCACATCATTTGTTTTACGCTATGAAATTGGTGCGGGCACTTGAACGCCAGTGATGGAAAGTCAGTGCAAAAAATTGAGTATTCGCTTTAAATATAATATTGCCCTAGCAACAGTCAATCAGCCAATATGTCACATGGCATTGCCTTGAGCCAAATTTTTAAATAATATTTGTCTGCAGTTACTCAATATGTTAGAGGTAGGCGATGCGAATATATTTCAACGTGCGATCTGCTTGTGAAATTTATGTAACTATGCCTTCGGGATTAGCATTTGAATTTGAAATATAAAAGATAACTATTAAATGCCACAAAAACATATACAACACATACAATTTTTAGTCAAAATACATAGACAAATGATTTCAGTTAATTAGAGTCACTTTCTTCAGTACATATGCATGTACTATATATGCAAATATATATTAAAAATATTATGAAAGGCTGTAAATATTTCATGACCAGAGCTTGAGTATTGCTTCGTTTCCTTAAAAAATCCTCGATTAAATTGGCTGAGCAGATTTGTGTGTTTCCTGCGCTTTGAGGGCAATCCATTAATTAGAATAGTCAAAGTGAAATTTTTCAGGTGAGAGTATAGCGTCTTCCCCACAACCCAATTAACATCTACACCCGTTCATTTTTCAGTGTCTTTATTTTGGCATCGACATCATTATCACCGCTGGCATAGCCATCGGTTCGACTCCATGGCATGTGTGGGTGTGTCTGTCATTTTGAGAGTGCTATATAAACTATAATCGTGGCTAAATGTGTGCATGTGTGCTGTGGCACACCAACACACACACATATGTAGGTGTGCATCGGAATCAGGTGCAAATATTGTTAGATTTTCGCCGAGGCGAGTCGAGGCATCTCACAAATCTGGCTGTCGACGCATATGTATGTGGGTCTCGAGGATTTCACACTCACATCCTCGTCGTATCCACATCCCACATACCAAATCCCAAATCCCAAGCCGGGATGAAAGCTGTTGATTTAGCCAGCCATGTTTTTGCTGATTTCATTATTAAAATACGGCATTGTGCTGCGACTGCTCTCGATTTTGTTGAATTGCTTGAATATTTCATGTGGCCGCTACACAAACACATATGCACATAGATATTTAACCAAACGCCTGCAATTCGATCATCCAATATTGAACACCTAAAGAATTTTCTCACTTGTAATTGAGTGACCAAATCAAATTGCAATCAAAATATTTGAGGGTAAAGGCTGCAAGAATAAAATTGATTTATTACCCCAGTTAAATTGTTTGCTTTGGAAATTGGTCATTTTTTTATAGCTGCATATTAAGTTAAAAATATTAAGATGACAAATTGATATGGGGAGATATCTTTAAACTAAAGACAAGTAAACAAGAAATACAATTGTGTGTTTTCAAAAACATTCTGAGGAAATATTCGATAGATATTATTTATGATTTCTGGTTCATATCTTTTCACAAATAATGAATCGAAATTTACGATCGCTCTCCTTTCGCAAATAGCTGAGTATTTAAATTTCGATAAAAGCTCTCTGCCTACTGGCATAAAAACTGGAGCACTTTTCAGCTAATTTGTTTTCGGTGCAAGCCAGTTGTTTTGGCTTAGAAGCGGGTGGTTGGGCTTTTCACTTAAGCGCACTAATGTTCACCAAATAAACACACGCACACTAGTCAGGCTTAAGTGTAAGCATACATGCACACACAAACGCACACTGGGGAAAATTCGTATTCATTTGCTTTAATGTGGATGCTTACCGTTTGTAACAATTTGGCGCTGCTTAATCCAAAAATAACGCCATCCAATTGCTAAAGTTGGCTTCAGAGTGCTGCCCGGAATTTCGGCCACTTTCCCGCCCCCCTGCTGCACTTTCCTATTGCACTTTCACCTTCCCCACCCAACCGCCTGTGCTATTAGTGTGTGGGTGAGTGTGCGTGAGTATCTGTGTGTGCAGGGTTTCTGGATTTTTGAGGAGCGCGAAAGCGAGGCGAACGCGTCCGCCGAAAACCGGCGTTTTGTAAGCGCACCATCGGCCAACTGAAACTGAAACTGAAAATGAAACAGCAACAGAAGCGAAGCAGCGGCGAAAACGCTCAACTTTACGCAATGATCATCGGCGGCGGCGCCTTTCCTTTCCTTTCCTTGCCTTTCCTTTGGCTTTGGCTTTTCATTTTCATTTTCATTTTTATTTGTTTTTTCATTTCGCTTTTGTTGTATTTCGTTTCATCAGGCTACATTTTCACATCTTTGGCACCGACGGAGAAGAGGAAGCAGCTGCTGCGGATCGCCGGAATGTATCTGTATCCACGGGCGAGCGAATGCGTGGACTCAGATACAATCTGGCACACTGGCTGCCGCAATATGGTGCATTGCTGTGAGATTTAAGCGTAAGAAACAAGACGATTCTTACTCGATAGGCAAACAAATGTTTAAGGCGAAAAATAAAGCCATTAAAAGCAATATGAAAGTTTTACAGTTCTAAGAAATTCTGCATTTTTAATGGTGGGCTTTCTATGCAGATTCCAAATAAAAAGTTTTTGACCTACGAATTACAACGACTACTGTGTTTGTGCATTACCGTGCCTTTATTATTAAATTTATATTTATATTTCCAAAACAAAACCAAAGAAAATTGTCTAAAAATACACATTTTTAATTTGTTAAATTTATATCGAAATAGCCTATCAAAGGCATTTTTAAATATCAACACCATCCATTTAAAATACATGAAATAAACAAAGTCAAAGAATTGTAGTCAAAAATTGCAAGATTGTACATCGGCTAAACATATTGATATATTTGCAGCCAGAGAACGAGAGTTCAATTAATTAAAATGATTTATTTTTTGCGAAAGCCGAACCGCTTACGCATTTGCACATATGGATGAGTGACTTTTATTACCTAATTAACGATGATGATGGCATTAAATTAAAATACATTCAAGCGCATTTGGCAGATATTCAAAACATCGACATCTGAATCTTCAAAACTGAAGACAACGGGGATTACAGTGCTAAAAAGCTCGAAAGCAGGGCAATGAGTATGAAAGTCTGTCCAAAACACCCACAAATTTCCAATGCTGATTCATTTGAGTAACACCTTCTGTTTCCAACCGCCACTGTAAGTTGGCCACATATTTAGACCGCTTTTTGTCCACCCGCCAGCAAGAACAACAAATAAACCGAATAGTTACAAAAAAAAAGAGCGGCAGAAAAAATGAATTATATATGTATACAAAATACTCGGTCGCCGTCGATGAGCGACAAGATGGAGACAGCGGCAGCGAAAGATGGATAGATACATTTGTATCTATAGATATAGATTGTGTATGCAGGCTGTATGGCCCGACTATTACAGCATTTTTACTGCCGCCCCACTCCCCCCGCGGTACGACTCTAATATTCTATTTTTGAGTGTAGTTCTTGGCTTTTCTTTAATTTTATTTATTCGATTTTCGTTCTGGCTTTCCACGTCCTCGCCAGCGATGTCAACATTTTTACCCTCCGGATTTCTATAATTCTTTTTTTTTTTGTATGTTTGGTAAGCGATTTTCGCCCCCCACGAAAATAGCACAACGAAGAGTCCATATAGAAATTGACGGGAAAACGGGAAGAAATGCGCTTAAAATGCCATTTAATTGTTTCACTTGCAGCGAAATGTTGGTTTTCAGTATTTTTGTGTTTCAGTTTTCAGTTTTTGGTTTTGTGCTATTTGGCTTTTTGGTTTTTCTCGCGGTTGAAGTTGATTTTATTTTGCCAGCCTTTTCGGCTTCACTTTTAATTGTGCTTTAAATGCTAATTAGCTTTTGTGTGTGCTGGATGCAAATGCAGTGCACATATATTCGTATGTGCACATACATACATATATATGCATGTATTTAAAATATATATCGGTTGGTTTTCCTTTAATGCATTTTATTTAATTAATTTTTGATGGCTCATTCGCGGCGGGGAGTTTTTCATATTTTTTTGCATTGTTCGCCACTATTTGCAGGTGACACATTTTCTGGCATTTATTTTTGGGTTTTCTGGTGCATCAGTGCACACGCACACACAAATAACACACTGTATGCCCCACACACACTCGCACACACACGCACACACACACAATGCTGCACCTGTCGCTGATGCACTGGCGATTCCACTGGCGTACCGGACTCGAAATTCGGACTCGGAGTACTCGGTTCACGGAACTAGGAGCTGGCTGATGTGATGTGGTGACCACGTTCGCGACCACGGTGCGAATTATTATTGTTACTCGCCGCTCAACGAAAGTCGCTGCTACCGCTGCTGCTGTCGACGGAAAAGTTCGCGAAAGCAGCAAAAGTTGCTCTTGCTCTAGTTGCTTTTTAATAATATACATGTTCATATGTTCATATTCATGGAAAATCGCCGATGATGACACCCCATCGAGTGTGTCTCTGTGTGGGGCACCTAGCCCTCCTTCTGGCCAAAAGCAAATGCCGCCCACTCACACCCGATTATAAATTAGCCACGGGCATTGGGCTAATCACATATTCCCCAGTTCCACTCGCTGAAGCCAACAAGAAAATTAGGAATAGAGCACTTCAAGCCAAGAGGAGCCAGTGGAAAAGCGATAAATATTCCGCACCAACACACACACAGTGGCATGTGTGCTAAACCACCTAATTAACAAGAAAACAACGGTTCGATATATGTAGTACATTTCTCCACCTATTCACACACACACACACACGGTTTCCATTTTATATGCATGTTCCTCTTAATATTGAACATTTATTTTCGGATTTTTGGAAAGCCATTGAAAACAGTTCCGATGCCCTGCAAACACACCGGGTTATATCGACTAGACGGATTGTTAAGTTTATTTAAGTTTCATATTTTTTCGTAGCATACTTTTGGCGGCGCCGCCAAGCTGGGCTTAAATTGGATTTCTATTTGCAGTTGATTGAAGTGAAACCGCACACAATTGAAATGCACAGAGGCGAAAACCTTAATCATTTTATTATTTGTTTTGATAATATTGTAAGACAGTGTTAACTTAATGCGTTATAATTCAGAAAATAAACAAGGAAAGTCTTGTTGAAAATAAACTGTCTTTGCTATCGTTTTCTGTCAAAAAAAATCTAAAATTTATTTTACAAAAATGTTGTAAATAAAACTAAGCAGTAATATGCATTGCCTATTGATGGAATGAGCAAGAAATGGAAAAATTAAAAATTTTTTGTTAAAAGAAAATCTGAAATTTATTTTACAATAATTTTGTAAATAAAACTAAGCAGTAATATGCATTGCTTATTGATGGAATGAGCAAGAAATGGAAAGAGTAACCCTTTTATTTTTGGAAAATGCAATTAGTAGGTGCATGCGTATTTTTTCCAGTGTGATATTCGAGCACGGTATTAGACAGGCGTCTGTTGGCACACGTTTCGATATTTGTTCGTTATCCCGCCCATTGTTTGTGCTTTGCGTATTTTTAGTTCTCATCTGCTTATATTTTTGGAAATTTTGTTTTGCCATCAAGAGCAGCGGCACCGCGATCGTCAGAATCAGCAACTTAGCGCTGTTTTATTGTTGTGCCCCGCCATTTCACAAGTTCATGTGCTTTCGGTGCGCTCAAGCACGACAATTAGTGCATTCAGTGAGTTCTCGCCATCGCTCACCTGTGCGCCCCACCTGTGCCACTTCGCCCACTTGCCACCAGTCACCCCCCCGCAGCACACTGCTCCTGCTCCTGCGGCTGTCAGCGAAATTTAACCCATGCACAAAAAGCTCCGCTGCAGAGCACCTGACAGGCAACTAAGCTGCCTGTATTTCACGCTAGGAAGCCAGCAAAATATAATATGTTTAATGTTTGTGAATGATTAATGGCACATTAGAATTGAAATTGTTTTTGGCCGCGGCAGCAACAGCGGCGGCAGCGGCAGCGGCAGCAGCAAAAGAATCTCAATCCGAATCCAAATCCGAATCCAAAGCGCAACGGAGCAGTGTATATATTGCTATAATGTGCAAATATTTATAATGCCCCCAACTACCATACATGCCAAGCTCTTGGCTGCTGCTGCTGCCTGAGTGGAACAGGTGAGTGTTTATAATGTATCGCATATGCATGGCCAAGTGCGGAAAAGAGGCAAAAACCAGGCAGAAGATACACAGAAATCGAATGAGTATGTGCCCATATAATGTAGTGCCTTGTACACCACACGGAATTATATTTATAATATTTACAATTTACTAAAAGTTCCAATCAGAATCGTTCAGTCGAGTTGGTTCGTTTTAGTTTTTGATTAAGATGAAATGTTGTAATTAGCAAAACTTCAATCACAGCTATCTGTCAGCTTGCATAAAGTGTAATTTTTACACTTTGATAGTGGAAAGTGTAATTTTGCTGAGTATTTTAATTTATTCAAAATCCTTTCCGATACCCCCAAGCTTTCCATTATGAGTCATTTGGGAAACCATTTCGTTCCGTGTATTGTATATTTTGCGATACCATCTCGCCGAGTATTTGCTTAGTCGTGTGTATTATTTCGGCTGCCAAGTTCCAAGTGCGGCTGTTCATGTCCTTGGGGTCCCCAATGCGTTATGATGGAAGATGGAAGATGGAAGAGCGGCCCCCAGCCGATGCCGGCAAGCCCCAATTCAAGTTAAAATCCAAACGAACTTTGCCAAATTGCAAAAGCCGCAAAACCAAAACATTTCGTCGCCTGCTGTTGAAGTTCCATCGAGTTGCCCCAAGGAGCATTGATGGGTAGGAGGGTCCAGAGCACCCCAACTTCCCCCCAAGAAAGCCGTATACTTGCAGATACAGTACCCCAGTCCCCTCAGACACCAACTGCTCCGCAAAGAGTTGGCAGAATTTCTTAATAAACTTTAATGACTGCGGGTGTTCCGGCATGTGTTTGTCACTTTGGCACTGGGTGCAAGTGCAACTTTGATGGACTCGGGTTACCTGAGGACCGGCTCCACCTGCGCATTGTTGCCAACTAGGTGCTGTTCTAGCCACAACTGCTGGCTCCACGGGGTCGAAACAACAAACTGTTTAATTTGGCAGTTGGCTGATGTGCGCTACTTGTTATCCAGAAGCGTTTGTCTTCGCTACTCATTCCGCCACATTTGAATATTAAATGAATTGCCAGCA